GTCAGGGCTGATTCCGGTTCATGCGAGGTGGCTGCCATGGCCAAACCGACATCTTTGCTGTGAGTAACTGATGAACAAGGAGCTTGAAGATTCGTAGGTACTGCGTGTGGGAACAGAATACAGTAGGGCTGCGTTCGGCCAGAACGGACACTACTATATAGTCCAACTTGAAATCGGCATTTTGCTGCTCAATTGCGGATCGTATGCATGTATTCATAGTGGCGCCACGTACTAGCAGCTGCCGAAGCGTTCGCCGAGGGTCCGGGTCGATGTCGATATTCAGATTACTGAACACCTTGAAGCGGCGTAAGGCGAAGTTGCTGACCGGTCAAGTATGATAGACGTTCGTAGGTGGAGGCGAGCCCATCTTTGCTCGGCTCAACGAAGAGGTCGTACTCGATCTTCCGGTTGCTGCTTGTACAATGGTCGAAGGCCAAGGCCATGCGATCATTGGATCGTCAGATGCCGTATATGTCTCCGTTGACGCAGTCGATAAGCCCAGCTCTCTTCGTACGGAACGATGGGATGCCGTGTCGTTAGTAGAACGGCTGTACAAGCTCGACGAGTGGCTTCTGATGCATGATGACTGTCGTGGTTGCGCAAGGCTTTGAAGCTCCGCCCTCGACGTACTTTGAACATGCGAGCGCTTCGGCGGAGCATTCGAGAGTCCCTGGTGCGCACTACGATTGGGGTTACCCGATTGACGCTTTATAGTTGACGTGGATGATCGTTCTTTCGAGAAGCTCTTCAGCTCTGCCTCTTCTTTAACGTCTGCGCCCTGCCTGGGCAGATCTTTATTCTTCACGCTCGGTCTTGCACGCATTCTCGCCATCATGGTGTCGTGCCAAGGCCATTTCACAATTGATTCCTCTGCGATTCTCTTCTCTCTCTTCTCCCGCAAAATCTCGTCGACAACTTTCAGCACAGCGTCCACATTCTGGCTGACTATTCGGCTTTCTTCGACCTCTTGGAGCAGAGGACTGGCGAGTGCACTTTCCTCGAGACCGACTGCATGTGAGCGGGTCAACCTTTTGCGGAGCTTCAACGCTCGGTCGGATATGGATCGAAATTCGTTGGTCGCCGCATCGAGATCCTTAGCGTTGGACGCGGAGGATTGTCGTTGCGGCGCAGGACCGAACACATCTGACCAGTCTATGTCCGGCATGGCAAAGGAGCGTGAAAGTTTCGCGCAGGATGCAAGGCCCTCGTGTAGAAGCCGGGTACTTATATCTTGGCAGCAACCACGCTAGCATTGGTGAAGAAATGTTGCATGCGGGCAATTTGCTAGGCGGTATTGTTGGGTTGCTCTCCATCAGCCTGGCCTCTTTCACGACTGGAATCCTCTGGCACTATTCACTGCGGCAGTCAAGCCCATGCTGCACCTATTCAGCCTAAGCGCTTGATGCTTGCATTGTTCACAATAGCGTGCTGCTCTTAGCCAGGCCGAGGTGACTTGCTCCGAAGTCTCACAGCATCGGTAGATCGTACCTGTGTAGTGAAGTCATCTCCAAAGCGCAAGGAACTTTGGGCATGGTTTTGCCGGGTGGCCGTGTCACCTTCCCATAGCAGTCTTCCAATGACCCGGGAAGATGTCATGTTCCGCTGGGCCTGGTCGTAAACTGCTTGAGAAACCCTCAGAGCAGCGAGACCATACGCTTTCTCTCTGCTCTACCAGACCCAATCATGCATGCCGCTCAAAAGATTGTCGAAAGAGGCCATTGTCGGGAAGCTTGGTTTCAGGAAGTAATGTGCTAGTTCCACAGACTAAGATACAATCGATACCGTCCATGGTAGTGATTGAAGCATTCACAGACATGATTTGCGATATGTCTTGCAACTGACTTTCGTATTGAGCTAGCGGGCCTGCTTGGAATTGAACTGGCGGGTCGAATGATCTTTCGAAGGTACGCATCGTCTGCACCATCATCACAAGCCCTGAAGGGTCTTTCTCTTGAGCTCAGACTGCATTTTGTGTAGTCCAGGAAATGTACAAGGCGAGCTGCTGTCAGAGCTATGCAGCCCGCCTGCAGCCCATAGATCACGCTCGAAACGATGCAGTTCGCGGCTCGCACAGCCCTTGCCTCCGCGTTTCTGGAACGCTGGTATGGGTCATCTCTTCCCGGTCCAGATTACCACGTGAGCCTAACGTGATGAGCGATGGTTCCACAACCATGGCGAACTGAAAGATGTTGGAATAGTTCGTCAAAGGAAGGACCTCGTTGCTCGCAGAAGCAGCAGAAGCAGAAGCAGAAGCAGAAGCCTGACCGTGGAGGAAGCGGATCGTCACGCGTAGCCGTAGCTCAAGCTTGGCATTACGGACATATCGTGCCAGACTCGTGTTCTCCAAGAACAACAACTATTTGCAAGTCACGATCAATCAGTGATATCACGGTCAATGAACCTGGACGGCATATGGAAGTTTGAAATTTTTGCATTTATGCCGACAGCATTAGTCGGCAGCATCCCACTTGAGCTTCTACCTGTTGGTATTTCCATCATCAGATGCACATTAAATCATTCCTCATTCCTCATACAAGGTATCCCATTTCATGCATCGTGGGAGTCATCCTGCTTTTTCTCCCAGCCTTGGTAAATCTACTGTCCAGAACCGTTGTACACAAGGGTGTTCGGGCTACCGGCACCAGCGTTGACGATAACACCAGTGGTAGCAAGAGATTTGATGCGAGCGGCAAGAGCAGCAGGTGAGCGTGGGCCCTCAAGGCCGATGAGGTAAGCTGCGAGACCGGCGACGTGAGGGCAGGCCATGGAAGTGCCGGAGATGGTGTTGGTGGCGGTGCGGCTACCGATCCAAGCACTATTTCATGGCTTAGTAAATGACTGAACATTCTCTGAATTTGGTGTAAAACTTACGACTTGATATCGACACCTGGGGCGAAACCATCAACAACTGGGCCGAAGTTGGAGAAGCTGGCACGATTGTCGTTGGCATCGGTGGCGCCGACAGTGAAGACGGAAGGCTCAGAAGCTGGAGAGGTTTGGCGAGCATCAGCGCCGTCGTTACCGGCAGCGACAGCGACGAAGATGCCAGCATCAGTGGCGGCCTTGACTGCGTCGTTGGTTTGTTGAGAGAAGCCACCGCCCAAAGACAAGGAGAAGACGGAGCGACCGGTGCGGCCATTCTGGCGGGCGTTGTTGACAGCCCAGTCGATACCAGCAAGGACTCCGGAGTTCAATCCAGTTCCCTACACGAGATATCAGTGTTGCGCCAACAATCCGAAGTCAGTGGATCAACTTACAAGAGCACCGAGAACCTTCACGGCGATGACGTTGGCACGCTTGCTCACACCGTATGTTGCACCAGCAGCAGTTCCAGAGCAGTGTGTTCCGTGGCCGTTGAGATCAGTAGCGATAAGAGGCTCAGTCGCGACGAAGTTGGCTCCGTTGACAGCACGGCCGCCGAACTCCTGGTGACCAGCATTGACACCAGTATCGATCACGTAGATAAAGCTTCCAGCGCCAGCGGTGTTGTCGTAGGTGTAGGTGTTGCCTCCGCGAGCGCGGCGGGAGATGCGGACAAGTCCGTACTCGGCAGGAGTCTGCTGGACGAGAGCACGCTTCTCAACAACAGGAGCTGAGGCACGGACTGTGGTGTCTGGCTCAATGCTTGCGATCAGGGGGATGCTGGCGACAAGGTCGACGAGTGACTCGTCGCCATCGAAAGCGAAGCCACGGAAGGTACCGAAGTTGTACTGGTGCTTGGGCACAATGTTGGTCGTGAGACGGAGAGTGTTCAGTACGGTTGAGAGTGGGGAGTTGTCTTGAACGCGGGCAATCCAACTTCCAGAGACGGTGTCTGCGGTTTGTCTCTTGTCGACAGTGGCGGCACCAAGCACAGCTGGCAGAGCCAGAAGGATGTTGAGGAAAGATCGCATCTTGATGAAAGGTGCTGAAGGGATGAACGAAGCAGCGGTGATGACCTTTGCAGGTGGCAGATTCGTTCACCTATGTACTCTCTGGGTTTCACCTACGCAGGTAGTTGCGTATCTGTTGATGCCTCTTCTTGCGGAGCCGATGCAAGCCACACTTCACCACCAGAGCAGACACCGTATTCTTTGACGCGCCATTGGAAGAAAATTTGTAGATCGCAGAACTCATATTTGTTGGCCAGGCCGATCGTTTCGTCTTCGAGAAGGAGCCAAGAATACCAAGATGAGTACCGCCAGCACTGTCGTCCAATATCTTTCAGATTACCCCCTCACCTACCTTTTTCAGCTAAGTTAGAGTGAAAAACAAGCATTGCTCTGGAGAAAGTCTGTGGCTTTTCCTCGAAAGTGGATATATACCGAGGCTCCTAGCTGGTTCGTTACATTTGTAAAAACATGGCGTATTTCAGTCGTGATGGCAAATATCCAGTCTTCTGTTGCGTCCACGCGTTGAACCGTCGTCGACGGAGACCTGGCTGGATCGCCGAGGAGTTTCTGGCAAGGCATGTGAAATACTCGTCGCCTCCGCAGCTTCAAGCAGCCTGGGCTGAGGATGACTTGCATCTTTGGCGCAAGTGGCGGCGCCCTCAGAAGCCACAGGGCCATATGCCAAGCGCCGACAGACGTAGGCCAGGGCGGCTTAGAAATGGAACATGCCGTTTGCTAAGAAAGGTAATACTTCTCACCGAGGCGCCTTATGCCCAGTAGCTGTTGCGCAATACCGAATGGGCCATGTTTCGCGCAAAGATCGCCTACGAATTTCCCTTTTGTACTCTTCCAACCAACGCCGCTGCCTCTTGGGCACGCGAGGTCAGCGTGCGCAAGAGTCCGTGAGCCCACTGATCAGCGCTGTCAAGGCTCAGCAGCGCGGCGCCATGCTGCAGCTGATGCAGGCTACATAGCTACCGTATGGGAAAGCATAGCGCTGTGCGACTTCTGTGCGTTCGCATCGTTATCGGCTGCAATCGGGACTGGGACTTGGTAGCATTTGAATGAGTGGCCGAGAAATGCCAGGTCGTAAAATGGATGCTGTCGAGCCGCTCTTCTAGACCCAGTCGAAAGACCGCCAGGAATCGTGCTTCCCTACGATATATTGCTGTGGCGCGCTGATTGCCCGAGTATAGTCGGCACACGATGGAGTGCGGAGGTTTGAGGTGATGAGCATGTGAGAGGGGAAGAAAGAATGTGGCTGAGATTAACTAAGTTTAAGGTTAAGTCCCGAGTCTCGGAATTAGAAGTCTTGGCAATCGCTCCAACCAACCTCACCAGCAACAGCGACCGCCACGCTGACAGATCCTTCGTCCGACAGTGTTTCTCTCGACCTTCCGGCAGCCATATCGCTCACGACCTGTTCAAATACTGCTCCAGCGCGGGACATGTTCCGCTTTCACGGCCGATTCAGAGCATATTTCGGCCAATCGTCTGACCTCGATCGGTTGCAACAATTCGGATAGCCCCAACACGCTCGTCTTGTGTGCCTTCGAGTGCAGTAACATCAGGACCGCGCAGACGGTGCGAAGCAATTTGACGCCCGTGCAAATCTAGGGTCAACTTGAAGCTTCCGGGGGTACTGCCTTCTCCCCAAAGCCGCACGGGATCTCGATCGACAAATCTCCCACCAGCGCTGGCTCGATAACCATCTGCAGAAGCACATATTCAGGTGCGTTTCATGTGCCAGAATGGATCGGGGTTGTACGTATGTAGACTGTTCTCTGCGCGGTGTCATGCTCAGTGGCTGGAGCATTTGGCTCGAGCAGCCACGCACTGACCACGGCTAGAGA